ATATTAATATTCCTTATTTTTGTGTACCCATGAGTGATTATAAAGAAGGTGCCATGATCTTTTATCAATTAGACAATTTACTTTATCCTTAATTAGATATGGGTACTTGAATATTAACAGAAGTGTTTATTGAGAAAACATACTAATGAAAAAAATCAGGCTCGAACTAGACTTTCAAAGCAAATTAAATACACTATTTAGTTCAGATTTTTCATCAAACGGTTACAAAAAGGAAGGGATCCTTTTCCTTGTAATTACATTCCATAAAGCCTTCTTAACTTCCTTATTCCTGAGGCTGTAGATCAGTGGATTCAGCATGGGGATCACCACCGTGTAGAACACAGAAGCCACCTTATCCTGATTCAGGGAGTAGCTGGAACTAGGTCTCAGGTAAGTATAGATGGAGGCGGCATAGAACAGAATTATGGCCGTGAGATGAGAGGCACATGTGGAGAGAGTTCTGTGCCTCCCCTCCCCTGAGTGCGTACGAAAGATGGAGAAGAGAATGTAGGAGTAGGAGGTGAGGATGACCAGCAGAGTCCCGACCATATTCACACCAGCAAAAGTTGAAAAGATACTTTCTTTCAGGTGTGTGTCAGAACATGAGAGCTTAAGAAGTGGGGGACTGTCACAGAAGAAGTGATGGATGACATTGGAGCTACAGAATGGCAAGCTGCTTACAAAACTTGTGTCAACCATGGAGTTCAGCAACCCTGCCACAAAAGCCCCAGATGACATTTTAAGGCAAACTGTCCTGGACATGACCAACGAGTAAAGTAGTGGGTTACATATGGCCACATAACGGTCATAGGCCATTAACCCAAAGAGGATGCATTCGGTTGTCGCCAGGGCAATAAAGAAGTACATCTGCAGGAAGCAGCCAGCAAAGGAGATGGTTTTCTTCTCTGATAGTAAATCTACCAGCATCTTTGGGGTGATGGTGGATGAATAGCAAATGTCCACAAAGGACAAGTTAGCCAGGAAGAAATACATGGGTGTGTGAAGTCGGGAATCGATCCTGATTAAAAGGATCATCCCAGCATTCCCCAGAACTGTAAGTGTGTAAATCACAAGAAAAAGTAAAAAGAGGATAATCTGTAGCTCCAGTGTGTCTGCTAATCCCACTAGGATGAACTCAGTTAGCGTGGTATAATTATTTCTGGTCATTTATTAAAAATATATTTTGTGTAATCTTTGTGTTCGCTGTAAATGTTTTCCTCTCCCAAAGTTTACATAAAAAGAAGAAATGTTAATGAGAGCAATCACATGTGGGAAAAAATAAACAAAAACTAAGATATTATGGCATATTAACTAGAGTAACTGATGTGACAGGGACATTCAAGGACAAATGGATAAGCATTTGAATTTAATAAACATTTGTCTGTACTGAATCTGGGTTGTAGGCCTCTCAAATCACTGGTCTAGGTCCACATACTCCACTTCCCTTTCTGCAAGTGGACATTTATTGTATTATTCTTTCTATACCAGCTGACATCCAGAGTGTGAAAGATAGAAGTATTATGCTGAAATCTCTCCCATTCTCTGAGCAGTTACGTGAGTTTAACTCAAATATACTTTTTTTCTTTCTCTCAATAACACTCTGTACATTTTTCAAGTTGAAAATTAATACATTGTTCCCTGGATATAACTCTTGTCTAACCCTAAGCTGCAAATACAGTGACTATTTCAAATAAACAATACTTTGACATCTATTATATCATTAAAATTGATTTTGTAATGCTTTAAAAGTGAACAAAACAGATTATTCTAATTATAAGGTACACTATGAAATTAATTCCAAGAAGCAGCAGAGTACACATCTACCTCACTGAATAACACCAACAAATCTTTGTATCTTCCTCCTCAGATCATGTCTTACCTAAGTAGCCTATTATTTTCTTTTTCATCAGAGGTTCTCAGTTGTTATTTAAAGAGAAGAAAAAATTCATGCCTGAAAATTCAGTAGAAAGTTGAATTACCTACCGGTAATATTTTAAGACACCTTCTCAGTAAATACATTTTGCTGCGATTTTATTTTGTTTTCCGTCAAAAGATCGAGTAACCATGGGGAGTAGATTACAGGTATTAATTGGAGAGTCAATTCTCTAAAGGCAGGAGCTCCCATCTCAAAATAATATTAAATATGATTGCGTGCAGAATCAGACATTATGAGGGGATTACATCATAAATTGGTTTGTGATCTCTGGAAAACAAATAATTTTTAATTGGCTATTTACATTGACTCTATGTTTCTATTTTTAGCTTATTCTACTTTCTTCTTTTTTTTTTTTTGAGACAGAGTCTTGCTCTGTTGCCCAGGCTAGAGTGCCATGGCATTAGCCTAGCTCACAGCAACCTCAGACTCCTGGGTTCAAGCGATCTTACTCCCTCAGACTGCCGAGTAGCTGGGACTACAGACATGCGCCACTATGCCCGGTTAATTTTTTCTATATATTTTTAGTTGTCCAGCTGATTTCCTTCTACATTTTAGTAGAGATAGGGTCTCACTCTTGCTCAGGATGGTCTAGAACTCCTGAGCTCAAACAATCTGCCTGCCTCAGCCTCCCAGAGTGCTAGGATTGCAGGAGTGAGCCACCGCGCCCGGCCTATTTTTAGCTTATTCTAAGTGGATATATAGCACACTACCAAATTATTATTCTTCCCCTTTGTCATTTTGTGTGTGTGTGTGTGTTTGCGTATGTATGATTGGAGGCATAGAAAGCTTCCTCCTGACAGTGATGGCCTAGAACTGTTCCATGGCCATTTGTAACCCTCTGTAACAAACAAAATAACAACAAAACAAAAATAAAAAACAAACAAATAAATGAAAATCAAAAATGGAGTACCAACATTTCCGACTTTCAATAAGGACTAAACTCTATGGAAAGTAGTATGGAGATAGCTCAAAGAACTAAAAGTAGAACTACCATTTGATCCAGCCATCCCATTACTGGGTATTTACCTAAAGGAAAAAAAGACATTTTATTAAAAAAATATCTGTACTTGAACGTTATAGCAGCACAACTCACAGGTGCAAAGATGTGGAAACAACCCAAGTGCCCATCAATACATGAGTGGATTAATAAAATGTGGTATATGTATACCATGGAGTACTACTCAGCCATAAAAAAATGGTAAACTACCTCTTGTATTATCCTGGATGGAACTGGAGCCCATTATTCTAAGTGAAGTATCACAAGAATAGAAAAACAAACACCACATGTATTTACCATTAAATTGGTACTAATCGATCAACATTTATGTGCACATATGGATGTAGGATTCATCTGATATTGGGCAGGTGGGAGGGGCGAGGAAGGGATGGGTAAAGTCACATCTAATGTGTGCCTTGCATGTTGTCTGAGCGATGGGCACACTTGTATCTCTGGCTCCAGTGGTACAAAGGCAATTCATGTAACCAAAGCATTTGGACCCCCATAATATTCTGAACTTAAAAAAAAATCAATACAAAAATAATCAACACAATAGAAAGAAAGTCTTCAAGAAAGAAAAAAACAGACAAAGCTCTACAAGACTAATATGTAACAACTGACACTATGGAATAGAAAATTTTTTCCTGTCTATAAATACTTTAAATGTAAATGAATTGAACTTCTCAATCAAAAGACATAGAGCACGGAAGGATAATAAAACACACCCCGAATGTATGCTGTCTACAAGAGACTTACTTTAGATTTAAGGACACACTGAGAATAAAAGTAAAAGGATAAAAAAAGATATTCCATGCAAATTATAACTAACAGAGAGAGGGATTGGCCATATTTATATTAGATAAAACTGGTTTCAATATTAAAATGTCAAAAGAGATAAAAAAAAGACCTTTTTTTTCCCCTAAGGGCCAGTAAACAAGGATTCGATGACTCCAATCTGTTATTTCCAACTCTTTAATATCTTAGATTGAGTTTCATAGGTGGCTGCTTTTCATCCATAGAAAATACTAATGTTTGGGATGAATTTACTATTTGAAAATAAAAGGAGAGTTGATTTCATGTGAGATAAAAAATATTGAATAACTTATTAAGAAAAATTAAGATTTCTAAGAATATTAGAGAAGAACCAACATTAATGTATGGAGATTGTGATAAATAATACAACAAATTTTGTTAGTCATGTTTTTTAGTCATAACACAATGCATTTCAGTAGGAATTTTCTTAATGCCATCTTAACATCTTTGTTTCTTAGACAATATATCATGGGATTAAACATTGGGGTTACAATGGTGTAAAATAGAGAAAGGACTTTGTCCAATCCTGCCAAATGACTGGACTTTGGTCTCAAATATGTAATGATTCCTGATCCAAAAAATAAAGCCACAACCATGAGGTGGGAAGAACAGGTAGAGAAGGCTTTGGCTCGCCCAGTTGCTGATGGCAGCTTTAAGATGGATGAGATTATTTTCACATAAGATCCAAGTATCAATGTAAAAGGAATAGTGACAACTAAAACAGCAATCACATAAATCAACATCTCAATCAGAAAAGTGTCCCCACAGGCTAGCATAAGTACTGGAGGTATGTCACAGAAAAAGTGATCCAACTGGTTAGGTCCACAGAAGGCTAGAGAGAAGATCTGGTAGGTGAACCCTATGTGTACTGGAACTCCACTGATCCAACAGCCAGCTGCCAATTGGATACACAGCCTCTTGTTCATGATGAGAGGATAGAGTAATGGGTTGCAAATGGCAACGTATCTATCATAAGCCATTGTTGTCAAAATAAAGCATTCAGTGGCTCCAAAGACCAGAAAAAAATACATTTGAGTAGCACAAGCCAAAAACGAAATATTTCTCTTTTGTCTGCAAAGATCTGTTAACAATCTGGGAATAGTGACTGACACATAACATATTTCCAAGGAAGAAAAATTCCCAAGGAAAAAATACATGGGAGTCTGGAGGCAAGCCTCAACCTTGGTTAATATGATAATGAGGCTATTTCCTATCAGAATAATCACATAGATTACCAAAAACACCCCAAAAAGAAATCCTTGCAGGTTAGGAACATCAGAAAAGCCAAGTAAGATGAATTCCATTAAGGTAGTGTGATTTTCCTGTGGGGGACTTTTTCCTGTGGATTCCATTTATGAATAAAATGATTTGGGGGTTTAGAAGTCACTTGAATCCTCTGGGCTCAGCTGCAAAACAGGACATATTGAACAGTTGATTTCAAATCAATGACATAGTATAGAAGCCCAGTTTTGTTTGTTTGCTTGTTTTATATTTTTGGAAATATATTTTCAAATCTAATATCCTAAAATTCCAAGATATAAATAGGAAAATTAATTCTAAACTCTGTTTTTCCTGCTCATAGGAAAGACTATGGATATGTGAATTAAAAAACACAGCAAAACAGATAGCAGTAAGTGAAGAGCAAAACATGTCAGGTAGCCTATTCTCAGGATAAGAGTTGCTTTACTTAAAAAGCTAAAGTGAGAAATGTTTCTACTTCCTTATCAATCTGGTCTCCATATGCTTTTAATTTGTATTTTATCTGCCTAGTACCTTCTAATTTACAATCTGTTTATATATGTCTTATATTTGGTTTGATGTTTTCCCTGTGAGTTGCATCTCAGCTAACCTAGAAGGAAGGTGTTCAGTGAGACCCCACTGCCCTGCCCAGAGAAGGTCATCTTGGGTCTCAGTACTCACTGTCTAAGATAGAGACTTAGATGCTGATCAGAAAAGTATGAAATATTGTCTTTCCTCCATTATAGAAATAAATGTCATTTAATAAGGCATACAAATTGTTATTAGAAATAATACATCATAGCAAGTCATATGTTCACTTGAAGTTTGGAATGTGAAATAAAGTAAAAAAGATTTTGTTATAATATATCATAAAATATATCATAGGCTCCTCCAAATCTTAATAACTTTATTTATATTTTGAATTTTAGCCTTGAAGGCGTCATTAGGTAAGTTTAGGACTTATCAGGGGTAAATAGACAAGGAAAACGGAAAACAAAATGTGCAAGAAAATTTGATCATGATGTAAACTCTTCCATTGTATACCTTTTTTCTACCTCTAAATATGAGTTTCTGAAGACATTATAGATCACATATATACACACATATATAGTGTATATAATGTATACTTATGTTCTAAATATTTTTTTTTTCCTGAATGGTTATCAGGAACCACAGTGCTAA